TTAGGTGATTTGTGGCCAAGAGGCCTTTATAATTGTCCCTGATTACCAGTTGCCAGTGCAGTGTAGAGAAAGGTCAACTGGTCTGCCGTTCAGACCCTTTTGGCCCGTAATCCCTCAACACCCCGTGTCTGTGTCGCCCCCCTCCCCCCTCGAAACCTCCACACCTCTGAGGACGGAGTGCGATCTGGATCATCACTTTTGTCTGTTATTGTCTGAATCCTAATTGTTACTCTTTTCCCTTTGCTGTTCAGTGGATAGAAAACAGAAAACAAAGAAATACTGCAGCTGATGTCGAAGCATTACCTCCATGTATGTGGTCCGTGTTTCTCTTTTCAGAAAGGGCCTCTAATTATCTTTGGCAGAACATATGTGACCTTGTTTGGTACCACAAGAAAATAGACATAGCAATGATGCATTGTTTGAAAGCAATTGCTTCTTTCCTCTTTCTCATTTTCGCCTCTCGTTAAGCTTCGAGGGGGCTTTGAAAAATTCCCTCAAGCCTCCTCAGTCTTCTTCCCCGTAATGGAGGGATTCCTCCACTTTTTTTTTTTCAATTCCAGCTTTTGTTTGCTGCTGAAAAGGAGCCGCTTGTATAGAAATAATTAGCTGTATTATGTGTAGAGATATATGCATCTCCCTTCTGAGGTGAAAATCTTCCTATCCATTTTAATTCATGAGGTGCAATATACTGTATCTCTAGACTTTAGCTTGTCAGCATTCTGGGATTTACATAGACGGAGAATTCAGTCAGAGTGTGAGGCAAACTGAGATAATTTGATATTATTTCACTGGCTTTGTTTAAGACCTGTTTGAATATGTATATCTGCATATTCAGCAGAATACCATGGAAGTATGTTTTTTGCAGTAGATATTTGGGAATAAATATATTAACCGGTTACTTGTGAAGTGTGAACACTGCCTCCGTCCTTCTGTTTTATATTAACTTGATGCATTTTTTTTTATATCCACACCCCATTAAAACTACTTCTACTTCTAAAGTCCTCAGGAGTTACCTACAAAGACTCTGGATGAGCTTAAAAAACACAAATTCAGATTTTCTTTTTCTTTCTTTTTTTGTTTACCCACAAGTTTGTGTTTCGGAGGAAAACAAAAGCACAAACCGGATTGTAAATTGGTGCTGACTTTCTTGCTATGATGACTGCACAGGACATGTCTCAGTTTTCCACCAACCTCAGTCAGTTTTAACACCTCAAGACCAAATGTTGCGATTAGGAATACTTGGAAAGTAGTTGGCAAGTGAGCAGAAAAGTCTAAATGGACTTGAATAAATGGTTAAATGTCTAGCTTCTACCATTCCAGAAGTATGTGAAGAGAAAATTCCACACAATCATTTTGTCTTGTGTGAATTCAAATGAGCGTAAAGGTGAAATAGTATTGAAAGTTTCCATAAAGGCTATCCAATCTATCAAAGGAGTGAGACAAAGGGGTACTTGAGCCCATCTGATCGGGCTCTTGGAGTATGTTGGACAAAAACAGGTTTGTCCATATTGGCAGCGCAGCCAAAGACATTTGGAAAGTGCCCTGTACTCTCACTGAGGCTGCACTGATATTTGCAGTCTCTACACAAAGCCTTTTGACTTTGTCCCCTGTGAAACCACTTTAGCTCGCCTCTGGATGGGGGCGCTCTGAGCAGGACTTATAAAAAGATTTATGTGAGAAAAGCAGTTTTAAAAAATGTCAGCGGAGTATCACAACATGTGTGTTATTGTTCATTGTTGGCTGCAGCCAGCCCACCTCCTGAGGTCCTTTGGCTTTTCAGATAAAGGATAATGTGAATGACCCAGTGTGACTGTTTGTTCTCCAATTTGTTCTGCAGTTTCTCTGGATCCTAAGTGTTTGCCCTTGGCTTGAAGCAGCCTCTGAAGCTGACTGAATTGCTTAACTAGGTGAGAAATGAAGATTTATCTCCACATCTGCGAGGCGCTCTGGCTTCTCAGTCACACAGTGTGTCTGAACTTCAAACTGCACAGAGTCGACAGTACACCGATTTAAGACAAAGAACACATTTTAAGGATTCTTCTATCCATCAATCCTCATAGCTTTCAGTGTTACACACACTCGCAGTATAAAATAGTGACTCAACTTATTCTGTGCTTATTTGGACTATTATTTATTCAGGCTCAAGCCCCACATATCGCCCAAACTGCCACTCCACCTTCATTTCCTGCCAGGCCCCAGCGCGGGCTCTCCCTCATCTGACCTCTCACACAGTGAACCCCATGAATGGACAATAGTGCCCTTCAGTGGGGCCCCATGACCATAGCAAAGCCTGCAGCTGGAGCACATAGCAAGGCTGCCCTGGCCCGAGGGCACGCTAACAGCTGAGAAAGATCACTGAACTGCCAAGGGGATTTTTGGGAAATGCTCGGGGAATCACATATGTGAGGGATGAAAAGTGGCCTGGAAGCCATACGAGAGGATAAAGAGTCGGAGTTGTTTATTAGATGCAGAGGAGAAGCGGCATTTAACAGGTGCTCAGGGGCTGGATGGTGGGTCTGGAGCTAAACTGCATGAGGATGAACCTCTGGAAAGCCCCGGGCTGTTTTTCATCAAACAAAGGAAGCAGGATTAGGCTCAGGGCTGTTACAATAAAGTCCACTGGATTTCTTGCCGGATGTCAAATGTAATAAAAGAAAATTATGTTTTTGGATGAAAGAATGAAAAAAGTGGAAAGTAACCAAGTACATTTACTGAAATACTTTAGTTTTGAGGTAGCTGTACTTTATAGGAGTGTTTGTATTTCATGCAACATTATACTGATACTGATAGATAGATAGATAGATAGATAGATAGATAGATAGATAGATAGATAGATAGATAGATAGATAGATAGATAAAGCCTGTCAGTGCGGCATGACTTCTTCTGACATCTTTGTATCAAAACTTGCTGCCATCAAAACAATGGCTGTTTGGTAACTCGGAACTTGTTTTGGTGCCTTGTTATTTCCCCTGAAGGGTTTCTAACTAGGCAAGAAAATCAATCATGCCTAAAATCACACCAAACATGTCGTATCTGCACTTTCCAGCGAGATATTTCACAGTCAGTGCCACAAGGCAAGTACAGGCAAGAAATACATATGCTGATGAGAAGTCAGTGCGGGAATAAATCCATCAGTGAAGTCTTTGGACAAGATAAACATGATTAACATTCTGCCAACATCATCATCATCATCACAAGGGTTCATTCTCCTCCAGTCCTGTAATGATATGCTGTCCAAGAAGCCATTTACTCCAGCCAGCCCGGCTGCACAGTGGATTTGTCCAAATACATGCCGGCGCCCCCACTCTGCCTCTCCAAATGAGTTTTTATTAGCATAATGGTGTGTGCTGCTGCTTGGTGATTTCTTTTAATCAACCCCGGAGTCACTGGTAATTAGTAACAGACCACTAATGGATTCTGATGGACACTCTTGGCATCCAGTCTTATCCAGCTGATTTGATACTAAGAGGAATATCAATGGCAGCTGCGATTGACAAATGTATTCATATCATGGGATTGTAGCCGAATTAAAATAGGTTGACACTGATTTTAAAGCAGCTGTCTGGTAGCACATTCAGCACATTTTGGTATTCATTCCCACCTTTGCCATTTGTCCCAGCACAAGTTGTCCTCAGCACATTTTAGCTCGTTGGATCTCAGATTTGACATTAACCTAATCTTACCCCGCAGGAAAAAAAACCCTCCTCCGAGCCGATTGGAGGAAATTGACATTCTCTCCGCTGTTTCCATCTTTGACTGCGTCTCGCAGCTTTGTTTCTCCACAGGACATGTGGTGATTGGACTTCTGAAAGGTAATAGGAGGAATATCCTGCAGTGCAGACGCAGAGCGAAAGGCTCAGTGCTTCATCAAAGAGGGGAGAAACAAAGTTGTTAAAATTCATAGGACGAAAAAAGGAATCAACTGCAGAATATATTACACAGCATCAACTGTTCCAAGGACAGGAAAGGTCAGACTGCTCGTCTGGCACACTGTCTAGTAGTCAATGGGACTGGTGGGACTACATTGAACAAGAAAAATCTGGGATTAAAGCTGCAGAATGGTAAACTCCAAATCCATACACACAATCTGTGATGGCTTTCCTGCATCACTGTCCACATAGATATGTGTCCCCCGACAGCATGTGTGGGCTTGTATTTGCGGCACAAGTGAGCCCATCCACAGAAGCCAGTGATCCATTTCTCCTTTCAAATTTCCCAGCCAACGCAACGCCCCGATGCTCCTCTTCACTCGGCAGCTCTGACCTTTGATGGAGAAGACTTAGAGATCATGTACCCTGCAGACAGAGAGCTTGTCTCCAACCTAATCTGTCCCGAGGCTGAGAGTGATGCCGTCCAGGGCTTAGGGAAGTTCAATACAGACATGCCCTTTCAACAGGAATTCACCAGGATGTGTTACAGCAGGATTGCAAATTACCAAAGTTGTTTAATCATGGATTGATAAGAACAATAGTTTCCTAGGAGACCAGACTACCAAGCATTTAGCTCCCAGACATGCAACCTCCCAAACGTCATTCTTTGCCACTCTGTTTGCTTACGGCCCTACTGTTTCTTAAATATACACAGATCACTCCCGCCTACACACATAGAATTAAGAACCTGTGCTTCCCCCTTGTTTTCCCACAGATTTTCACCTCTATCGCCCTCTAACCCTCAGCTCTGAACATACACTCTATTATTCCTCAAAGTTCCTTGTTCAAAGTTATGGCAATGCAAGATTACATTCACACAGAAACCCCACCCAGCCCGCCTCTCCCTCCTTCCCAGGGACTCAGTATTTCAACACAAGCCGGGAGGCTGGGTGTATATATATATATATATATATATATATATATATATGAGTGTGAGCCACACCCCGCAGCTGTGCACCTGGAACTGTTCCCATTCCAGCATGGCAGTGAACCCACACACCTGTTCACACCTGAGGCCTGCGCCTCTGGACCGCCACCTCCTCGCCTGCCTTTGTTTCATCTATCAACTCATGAGACTGACACAAGCTGAGAGAGCAGGCAGTTTTTTTAAAAAGACGTTGTACGAAGCAGTTAATGTCTGGTTTGAATAGAGATTTGTGCTATTTTGTCTGTGTCACCCAACCAGTTACACCAGCGCCTAACACAATACGTTAGCTTGATGAATTCCAGGCAAATGGCTGACCCCTTTTCTTACTCAGTGAGGAGTTCAGGATAGAACGGACCGTATCATTTTTGTGAGTAAATTTCACAGTGAAAGCAACGTTTTTTGTGATCTTTTGCAGCTGTGTCTCTTTTATCACATCACTGGTCTACATTTATATCTGCATGCATGTAGGTTAATTGAAAATGCTTTGCAAGAAAGATATAAGAACAGGTTCACTGAACCCGGAGTCTAAGAGCTGGGTGCTGTGTTGGCTTAAGAGAAGAAATGTTGAACTTAATTTGAGACTTTAACGTTTCCAGCATAATTTCCTGTCGATCTCATCATCTTCCCTAAAACAATGTCTCTCCTTCCACTCCCGTACTTTTACTGGCTTTTATAAAGTTATTATTTCACTTTCAGTGTATGAATATCAAGTTACACTGGATTGGACAAAATCACAATTGTCTTTAGCAGCAGAGATTCTTAAATCCCAATTTCATGACTTTATGATTTAGAATCATGCATTTTTTTCAGAAACCCCTTAAAATGCTTGAAGAATTATGCTTTATTTTTTAATCTTAAAAAAAGCATATCTGTGGTAAAAGACAACTCAACTTTCACTTACTTGGCTTCTCGATGAGTCCAGGTCTTCTTCAGCGCATGGAGCTCAGGTGTCATCATGGTCAAAAGCTCTGTGAAAAGCAAAGTAAGTAAACCTTGTGATGGGAACATTTTACCAGACTTTAAAACTTTTTTAATATATTTCTTTACGTGTCGCACATAAATCTATAATGTTGAACAAATAATAACTCTGTGCGGGTGTGGTTTGATTACATTTGATTGACAGTGCTATTTCTTTGCCAACCTTAACAAAGAAACAACCCGACAACTGTCATCAGGTTATGATTTAGATTCTTGCATAACACTCAAACATCAACTATACTTAAAGTATATATTTTACAATTTAAATACACACTGTTATTAAAGTGTACATATCATATCATCATTATCAAATCCAGGCATGCTTTATATACTGTTTATGACATGTATACTGTACATAACCACCTACTTCATGTATCTAAAATAATATATTACAATAATCATCCAATATTTATTGCTGTACTCTTTGCACTCTGCACTATTGTATTGGTAAATGGACTTGTACCTATGTAGCGTTTTTCTAACATTACATGTCATCATTCACATGCATTCATACACTGAGGGCGGGGGCTACCATGCAAGGTGTCACCTTCATACCCATTCACACACCTGCGGGAGCAATTTGGGGACACATCGACATGGACGAGCAGAGCCGGGCATCGAACCGCCGATCCTCTGATTGAAGGACGACCCTGCTCTACCACCGAGACACAGTCACAGTGATACTAGAGAAACAGTTCGACTTGTATATAGACATTGTATGTTGTTGATTATTGCTGCTTTTTATATATATTTCTGCATACATTGATTTTAGTTTGTGCAATTAGTACATTAGGACATTAACCTGCATCATTGACTGTTTGCCCGAATTACTGGTTAAGTATAAACAAATATTCAGTCAAATTTAATAGAAAGTTTAACTTTATTAGCTTTGATCATGCCAGTTACATAACAGGGGTTCTGTTTCTGTTTGTTTTGAATCATCCTTTTGACCACCTGTCAGTGTCCCACATGGGTGAGTGTGTCACTTGCAGCACAAACACTCTTTGCTAATGACATGACCACTCCAAACAAATCTGGGAGGTCTGAGCGTGCTCAGTTGCTCCACAGCGGGGCTTCCTGCTGTCCCTCATGGCTGCTGACAGGTATGGTATTAGACCATCTGCTGTGCTCTCTTACTGGTCTTTCACCTCAACAAACTGAATGGATTTAATTTGGGAATCGTCTGCATCTGTGAGGGTTGACCACCAGCATACAAAAACACCACAATAACGACTCACATGAATGAATACGGCTATTTCTATGCATTATTTTATACCAGTAACCACCTGGTCACCAAGAGCCACCTCAATTCACAGATCTGATATCATGTCAATATATATGAACAGTAAAAACTGATAAGTTTCATTTTGTTATATGTTAATTAGGGGGGAATATTGTAGTAGTCTATAATGAATAATGGTAACTTGCAGCTAAAGTGATAAACCACTCATATCCTGACGCATTGTGTAATGGTGAATTAAATGAGTCGATGACAGATAACAATAGCCATGCTAAATATAAATAATAGCTTTTGATATGTAAAACAGCACCTGCGAGCTAAAGGAAACATGATATTGAGAGACAGTGAGTTTTGTTTTTTTGATGATGTTAGCGGAGATTTTTTTTGGTTTGAGGTGAGGTGGCCCAACAGGGTGGGAAACCCTGAACTTTACATAATAACATATTTGACTGAATAATGAGGCCATGGTACCAATTAATATGTATTTTTCTTTCTTTGTGCATAAGTCCATAAATTATTGTAGACCTGTAAAAAAGTTTGTTTTCTATTAAACTCTAATGTCGCTGCTTACTCTTTGACAAAGACAAAAGTCATTTCCAAACAACAGCACTGAGCCAGAAACTGAAGGTACATTGCCAATATCTGTTTTTATTTATTCTCAATTTTCCAAGAAGGACATATTGGTATGATTACCATGTTCATCTAAGTTTATTAGAGAATAAAGCAGTGTGTGCCTGGGAAGACAATAACGCCAGCAGCACTGGAACGTCTCAACAATGAGCGCTGTTGTCAGTGTGTCTCTGCCGGGAACGGATGTATTTCTGGTTTGGCACAAATCCCGTCGAGGTACTTCCAAAAAGGAGGCCACCTTTCATTCTCCTCAGTCTCTAAGAACAATAAACTTTCTCTCTCCTCTCTATTTGTATGTGACCAGTGCTCAGTATTAGCCAAGGCTGTCACTGGTGAGAGCCCAATTAGAGGTCTGAGACCGCCCCGAGGGCTTATTTTCTGCTGTGTTTTGGGGAGTCAGTTGCCAAGCACTGCCATGGGCGCTGAAATCATTAGCAACTCTCTGTCACTCTGGGACTCTAAATACTTTAATTCTCTATGGTTGTCTCTGAATTGATTAATTGGTCGTCCACAAATAACACAGGCTTTTCTATCTGAACAAGCATATAGTGTGTTGATATCGAGCTCTATTTTACTGTTGACGCTGCTGTCATGAAAACTTCTGCTGCTCGGGTCTGATTGGCAAACCCTTTTTTTTTAATTAGTTCCTTTTATTTGTATTTGTCCCTTTATAACTTACCTCTTTACCTTCATTTGCTCATGCTGAATACAGAAACTAAACAAAATATGGTTATAACTTTTTTATAAATGTTTGTATTCAACAATTATGACTTTTAAATCCATGCCAGGCTCAGCTGTAGCAGCATCTTTGTCAAAAGGGAGGAGACGTTTCATCGTATTTAAAACGAATATATTCTACACACATTCACATCATCTGGCACAAATAACACGTCAAACACACTACCTTACATGGTATAATAAATCAGGGCACATACAAAATAGCAATAGAGTACCAAAAACAAAACGTCAATGACTGAAGTCAGCTGTTTCATCTAAAGACAGCTGGACTGTTCAAAACAGACCAAAAACACTTGTGGACTCCTGCAACAAGTGTTAGTGGTGCCAGACCACCCACATAGTCGACACACTATGACACAATCACACTTTTTTTTACTGTTTCAGCAGAACATATCAGTAAATGAAGCCTGTGATGCTTGAGCAGCTATAAGATGAATGAACATTTGCAACTCCACGTTCAAACCATTTCCAAGTCGGAATTGCTTATTGATTGGAAGATTTCCGCGGTCAGTATTTATGATGAATGTAGACGGCCTCATTCTAAAGCTAAAGATTGGAATTCACAACACATATTTGTAACGTCTAGTTGCCGTGTTATCACAACAAAACTGGGTCACCAAGCAAAGCAAAATACATTTTATGCGATTATTTTATTGGAGCAGGAAAATAGTGTGTGCATAAACAAGTCATAAAAATGGAATGCAATACAGAATTACTTAATACAAGTTAGAACTCAACCCCCTGTTCAAAGAAATAGAAGGCTAGTATTTTTTGTTGTACGGTTTGAATTAAAGTTTGATCTAAAACAACCTGGGCATCCTAAACTCCAGGAATATTGTTCCACTGTTCTATCTATTCAAAAGACCACTGTGTGCAAGATAGGATGTATTTTTTTTATTATAAACTTTAGCTCCATCAGTGTCATTTCCTAAACTGCTCGGACCTGCAACCTTGTGGAACTTGTGTCAGGTGGAATTTGAAATAGAGCATTATGGCACCTAATTTAAATGGCTTCTCTTTGAGCCATGCACATTGCTTTGGACAAAAGAATAAATGTCAAATATTCATTAATTACTGTCAAGTAATTAACATGTGGATTTCAACACTCACCTACATCTATGAGGGGAGTCGGAGAAAACGAGTTTACTCGCGTGTCATCCTTTTTTGAGACTAATGAGGTCGGTCTCCACCCCCTGGACTTGCTTGTAGAGCTTCAACAGCATATACCCTGGAACACATAGAGGATGTGGGGTTAATTTAGTGTGATACACTATCAACATTAAAGGGGTGTATCATCCAAAAAGCCTTCAGCAGGCGCAAAATGTTTGTGCAGACAGTTACTCATGATGTCGTGATGATGACAGTGATATCAATGGGTAGAGAAACATTGCTTTGGGTGTTTTTATTGAATTTCCTTCTAAATAATATTTGATTACTATATGATGATTTGTAAAGTAGCGTAGATTTCCATTTCAGAAATATATGTATGTGTGTATTCATAGCATTTAAAATGTTAACAACGTGGAGGTCTCCAGTGCAAATGTACCATATGGCCCCGGCAACAAGTCCACGCGGTCTGGGAGGTGAGGGGGCGGAAGAACAGCCCTGACCTCTGGCTGTCTACCAAGCATTCCCCAGACTGTGAACCCACTGAACGGAAGTTCTTCAGTTTGTTTTTAGTGAGACCATCTCTAATGTGACCACCATGCACAACTCACCGCAAATAGTAATATCACCCAGGAAACTCATTCTCTGTGCACCTGTCAATGAGTCGCCACTGCTCTCCAACTAGACTACAGGATGAGTCTGCCCGCTGCATTCACGGCCTTGTTGTTTGGGTGCTTTGTTCGTATGTAAAACATGTACTCTCTCTCTTTGTTACACACACACACACACACACACACACACATATACACGCACAAAACCCAAATGTCATGTGTCCATCAGTGCAGTTTGGTATTCTTGGCTTCACTCTTCTGAGGATATTTGTCTCCAATTCAACATCTGTTTAACAGTCCTGTCAGCTGGAACAGTGGATAATCTCTAATTCCTCAAAATGTGGCACGAGTCATGCATAACGCTGGCTCCAATAATGCGAGGAAAATAAGAAAATATATGCACACCCAAGCAGCTCTGCCAAGATATAGATTAACTGCAACTGGCTCTTATTTATGCATTTGGTGGGCCCTATCTGAATTTTACAGTCTCACTGTGTGCCTCCAGTAGTCCAAAACATAAACAGCAAAGCTCATATTTAATTCAGTGGCTGAAATGTTATTTTTAGGTGAGACCATGTTTAGTTATTTTGAAGCCACTAGGCTGTCGGTTACTTCAGATGTTGTCGAAATGGCTGTAAGACTTTTAAAAGTCTTATCTGCTCATTTGTTTGCTCAGCCTGTATACTCCATACTAACTTCTTAGATTTAGTTGGTGATTGGATGATGCTTATCCGGTGTGACAGCTCTTTTTGTGGTGAAGATCTACATGCGTCATGGTGTCTTCGACGTAATCTACCTCAGACCGAAAAAAAAAAAAATTGGATGAAAGGGAAAATATCTGCAAAATAAGTGGGAACACAGAATGAATTGTCATCGTTGCCTCTCGTGAATGGCCTGATTAAGATCTAGCAACAGCGGCATTTCCGCACTTTCAGCCAGGACTTCTGTTGTTATTCCTTCGCTCCACTGGGAAGGCAGAAGAGGGCTTGGTGTAAACACCTCGAGAGGGCTTTCACTCTCTTTCAGTGCAGGTGAGAGGCAGCGCTCACTCTGCAATGCACCTCTGCAGCACGAGCCCCTCGCACAGCAGCTATCTTTCCACTGGGTTCGGGGGGGGTCACTATTTTCCCACCGAGAACTCTTTTTCAGCTCGTATACGACGGATGCACATTATGGCCTCTGAATGAGAATTGTAGCTTTCAATGTGCATTCCTCTGGGTTTCTGTTCTTACAGAGGGCCACTGAATAAGAAATCAGCATCTCTATAAAACGCTCTATTGGCACACATCCCCCCCCCCCCCCCCCGCTTCCTAACTCCATCCACCCCTGACTCCCCTCCCCCAACAGCCATTCTGTGAAGTTAGGAATCCATAGGAGGTTTATTTGAGATGCAAGCACAAGTGTGAGAACACTGGACTTGGGAAGAAAATCCTTTCCTTTGGCCTGAATGGGGGCATTTCAAAAAACCAGACGTTTTTTCAGGAACTCCTTCAGGCTTCGTCCTCCGTCAACTGAACAAAACACTGCAGCCATTCAGGAAAAATAAAGCTTCATTACTCGCTAATTTGATTGAGTGTCATTGTGATAAAAGATTTGCCTCATTAAAGTCTTTCCCTCCCTATGTTGTTTCCGTTTTGTCTTATCAGGATAATAATTGTAACAAGCCTATCTGGTAAATACGTTAGAGACCTGACAATGTTGGAGGGCACAGATCAGATGCTTTATCCACAGCCGAGGCTCTGCTTAGCTACTGGTGTTCAGAAATGAAAAGAAAAGTCAGTCACACAGTGATACCCAGCCGCTTCATTCAGCTCTGCTCCCATTTGCACTTTCTGAAAACATCAAAGTCGGTCACCGTCAGAGTCGAATCACAGAAAAAGGGACACAGAAGAGAAAAAACTTCAGAAGTCCTTTTAAACACAACAACGAATTTGGCTTTTCATGGGGACCAGTTCAACTGTCACACACATGAATAATGCATTGCATTCAATGGTTTTGGGGTAAATTTGTTACTCTAATTTTAAAACATAATTTATGTGATTTTTTTTTCTTTTCCTGTGGTACAGAACATAATTTATCATATAAATCTCTTATGCAACCTCACATGCATCCTTTCTGCATCTGATTTGCACACATTTTCATGAACAATTGAACAACTGTTTTGCTGCTATTGGAGTTTGCAGTTCTCTTCCATTAAAAAGATGCACACACTCCACCTCATAAAAAGAAAAGAAGTATTTCCTGCGGACGCACAGATTGTACTTTCAGTGACGCATTAGCACTACAAAATGGATCAAAGGATGATATTTGCGGAGGCATTGCTGTTGCAGCATAATGAGGTGAACATTGATGTAGAAGCCGTCCATAATGTCGACTAAGGCACAGCTATGGACGACAGTAAGAAGTCGGCTTTGAATTCAAACTCTATCTTGTCTCTGTTGTCGCCAGATTCGTCTGTTTTGTTCCCCTCCGTCCGGCTACTCAATTTTGCTCTGCACCCAATTCCAATGACATCGTTCAGGCTTATTCAGAGATGGCATATTCAGTGAGCCTGTTGCATGATCAACCACTTTACATATTAATAGTGTTGATGTTGAAAATGAGTAATGAAGCTATTTTTATTCTCTGCAAAATAGTTTCATACTCTTTAATTAAAGAGATATTTTTGAGAAATTCACTTCACAAACCTTTATTTTGCTCCCTGTCCAGACTTCTCTTGGTGAGATTATGTTGCGCATGTGATTTACAGTAAAGATGTGCTGGTGTTTACTACTAAATGAGCCTCTAGTGCCTAGACTAATAGATGAATTGGATCAATGTGTTGCAAGTGACGTCGTTCTCATTGTGCTGAATATTACGGGTTTCTGGGAACAAAAGTCTCTGGAGATGAAGTTGACACAAATCCAGTCAGCTGTGGCTGATTTGTATCTCTACGACTGGAACTTCAACACGTTGGAGTAATGTCAAGTAAGCTCCGACAGAAAAATGTGTGTGAAAGGTCCTTTCTCCATCAAAAAATTGTTCTACACGTTCTTCAACTAATGATTATTATCATCATCGATTAATCAGTGAGAAAAAAGGTCAGAAAATAGTAAAAGAAAAGTTAAGTCACTACCCAGAGTGCAATGTGACATGTTTAAATTACTTGTTTTATCAGCGCAACCAGAAAAATATCATATAAGGCAAAGAAAAACTGGAACCAGTGAATGTTTGGCATTTTAATTTGATGAATGGCAGAAACTATGGCACTGAGAACCTGCCGTATTTTGTAATATAATATAATATAATATAATAGTATTTATAACTAGAGCACACATGCAGCAGATAGTAATCCTTAATATTTGGTATGCTCACACGTAACATTCTTGCTGTGATAGGTTCGACTAAAAAACACTAAAGCTATTGGAATAAACAGCTTTTTGGGAGGTCTATCACTTTAATTAACACTGAGGGTGAGCCTGACAGCTGTGATGGCAATAGGCGAGCCAATCACAGGTGCTGTGTGGGGCGCAGGGAAGAATGTGAGGGAGTGTTTGACAGAAGAGGCCATGTGCAGAATTAGGATGACAGGTGGTTGGCCTGATCCAACGCCAGGCTGCCAAAACGAGTTTGCCTTTGGGAGCTCCAGAGAAACACGACAGTGTTAATGAAAATGGCAGCATCTAAATGTGTTACGCTCCACAACAGCACATCCCAAGGTTAGAATAGTGGAAAATAAAAAGTCTGACATTACCTGAAATAGAGATTCATGAATAGCATGGATGAAAGGGATTTTTTTTGGACTGCGTTGAACTTCAGTGGAAACAATTTTTAGTCAAGGTCTCCAACTCTTGTCTTGGTCTCTTTCTGAATATAATGTCAAATAACATAAGATGTATATTGAAAGTGATTCAACTGAATCCTAGGTTAGAGCAGAAGTCCTCGACGTTCATATTTGACTCACTTTGGTGTTTGTAGATGAACCAAATCTGCTTTTCAGCAGAAAGTTTTGCTCTGTCGTTAAAAATTAAATGTCAAATAGTTGCTCCTGTGAATCGGCAGCGGCTGCTACAACTTCCCCCCTACATGTTTTTTTGGTCTCTGTGGGAGCTGCTCTGAATACCTCATAGCTTCTAGAAAGAACATCCCCAGGTGCTATTCAAGATTGACACATAAGTACAGAAACGCACAAAGAACATGTTTTAAAAGGAAAGGCTTTCTCAAAAACGCTCCCTGATACTGAGTGTTGAAAGAAATGCTCAGCGCTTTTATTCAAGCAAAAGTACCAGTACACCCATATAGAATCATCCCATCACAAGTAAAAGTCATTCAAAAACCAAAAGCATATAATTATTACTCACTATGCAGAAAAAATGCCCCTGGGGACTGATTAACTATTAGTATTTGATTGTTAATACTGATGCGTGAGCTGCATTATACTGTCGTAGTTTGTCAAGTTGGAGCTAGTTTTAATTATTTACAGTTTGATACTTTAGTTCAGTGGTTCTTGGGTCACAAAATAAACTGTAAA